GAGAGAGAGAGAGAGAGAGAGAGAGAGAGAGAGAGAGAGAGAGAGAGAGAGAGAGAGAGAGAGAGAGAGCATTTCTATATGCGTAGCCGTATCGATTAACAATTTTGTAAAATAAGGGGCAGTAGTGTCCTAATGTTTAAGTTCTAGAACTCGCGAATAGCTCGAGTTGACAACCTGCCAACACCTGGTTCTCGCTGCTCCAATATACGACTCTAAGTACATAAGCGGCTTGCTTGATACCAAGAAATCGTGTGTATTTTCATATTGCGGTCTTTTATAACCTGAACATAAATCATTAGTCATAGAGGGAACAATTTTGCGCCTTGCAAACACCTGAAATTAATCATTTCTACTCAAGTATGCATTCGTACCCATTTAAAGACATCGACTCCCTTCTCTCGTCGCAACATTAATCATAAGTGTTTCTAAACAAGCTACGGCTAAACAGCTCTGATCTAGTGCAGGTCAGATAAAAAGACGTGTTTATATACAATTCCTGTACTTCTGTATAATTATACGCATGCTACATTTACCTTTTTCGCGGTGAAAAAGATTACCGTTGCATTCACGAACCATTTTCTGTGATCCACTATTCAATCATTATTTCAAGGCATTGGCTACCTAGATTTGGGCAAAGAAGGCAGTTGCACCCCCCCCCCACACACACACACCAATATAGACAACTATATTACACGGTGAATGACGAATTGCTCACAGTCAACTACCAAGAACACGAATCGCACGTGCATGGTTTCCTTCCAGACAAAAATGAGTTAGCTACGCCCATATATTTGACATCGTAATGCTAAATACCTACGCCTCGACATGTCGAAATTGGCACACTCTCCTAGTTTGCATCGAATTCAACGTATACGCCTCGCATTTTGTATGTGCGACCGATTTAATAGCTAGGGATGGGGTCACGTAACAGCTCAAGACCCGTGCAACTATATAGTAACACCGCTGTGGAGAGTAATATATAATTGTTATCAGCGGTGAATAATGACAAACTTGTCATTATTCACCGCTGCTGTTATGGACTTGTTGTAGACGTTAGTGACAAGTGCGGCGTCTCCGTGCCGGCAAGGCATGCAGTCATGCGTTCCTGCTCTCACCTGTGTGGTGAATATGCACCGTGTCACAACGCACTGAACCACCCGCAAGCACGTAAGCATTCGGCGAGTAATCCAATTAACTTAGATAAACTATGCTCGACGACATTATTCACATTTCTTATGGTGTATATGATCGCTAAAAGAAGTGTCCTTGTATGGCGCGTATACTTGAGCCGCACCTCCACTTGCAAGCGCGCAGCATGTTATATATCTATTTCTTATCTCTTATTATTATTATCTCATATCTTATCTCTGATTAAACATGTGGAATGTTTCTTTTCATCTTCATGTTTGGTTTAGTGGTTTGGTTAATTAATTATTTATTAATTTGTTTATTAGGTATTTTTTTTAGGTAGTTATCCCAATATAGGCCTACATACTATTAAAATCAGGTTTAAATTAGGTGGTCAGAACTTCTGTGTAGACCACATTGTTCATGATGGAACGTTTAGTTGTGTCCTTGGCGTTTACAGCTAGAATCTTTAGCTGCAGGGCACTTCCCACGCGGCTAGCAGTGACGTAGAACTGGCCGTGACTGAAGAAGTCTTTGATCGTGTAGACGCCGACACGGTGAAGGGACTGTCCTTGTTGACTTGTTGACTGTCATCGCAAAGCAAGGGCGGATTGGGAACTGGCGGCGTATCATGGTGTGCGCTCCATTTAAGAAACAATGTAAAAACAATGTATAACTTTTCTCTGGTTAGATTAGATGGAGCGACTTAGAAAATCTTAGATGGCGCGCCTTTGGTTATACATTGTTTTTTACATTGCCATTGTGTTTTCGTGTTGTGACGTTGCCCCGCGCTCAGTGCAAAAATTTCCCACTTTTTTAATGTTTTTGAACGTGGAATGTGAAAAAAAACTGTAAAAAAATAGCCCATGCAACGTGTCATGATCTGTAGAACACATAATGAATCTGTAGCCGGACACACACACAGACAGAAATTCCCCAATTTATAGTAAGATATATACAAAAGTATCACAAGCACAATCATTTACATTGTCGTCTTCGCTTCATCATTCTTCATCATGTCAGCAATACTTTGAACAATCGGAATACACGTGTTTGCAATCTTTACATTAATTGTACATTTGTCACTATTTACAATTACAATCACTATTTACAATGTGATAGTCTAGTAAAATTCGAACTCATCTGCCTTCAACGTTTGAACGTTTTCCATTTAATTTGTCTAAATATTGTATTATATATGTATTATGTATTAAATTGTATTATTATTGTAAATATGTAAATATATGTAT